CGGATCAACCTTCCCGTTCCTGGTGCATTCCACTTCCTCTGCAACCCCCCACATGCACGCAGCCTGGCTGGGTTATGTTTCTCTGATTTTGACACTAATGATTAATGGGCACAAAATTACCGTGTTTTTGATCGATACTACAGCATTGTAGCGGTAATTAATTTAGAGGAGCATCGACAGGCTGTCGACTGAATCATCCGCTGACCGCATGCGCCGTCGACTTAAACACAATTACTTTTTTTGTTTGGTAGTAAAATGTATTTGATCACAATGTCCGATGATGTGAAAAGCTTTCCTTGTAATAAAGTGAACTTGAGTACCTTTATGGGCTTCCCAACTCATCACTGCAGGACATCCCTTATAGGCCTAATGAAATAGCCATTCACTGCACAAACCTTGCCTTCAAATATGTGGTATGTCTGGTTTCAATTCCCTCAGCCTTAATGGCTGCACTATGGTGATTTAAAAACATAAAGAATCTCACAAAGAAATGACTCATTTTACCTTGATCCTAAAGTAAAATTCCAGGACGAAGGATGCTTTGCTTCAGGCTTTAAAACAGTTACATTTGGTAGAGTTCAGACTGAAAGGCAGAATTTCCTAAAACATCTGGATGACCAGAACAATAGCAATAATCTCTGGAAAAATCTGTTGACTCCACATAAAAAAAGAAATACAATTTAAAAATCCATCAAGAAAGCTAATTTGATTTTTCTTTATGAGACAAAAATCTACAATATTTGGGATGCTGGAAAGGCATGTTGGTTTAACATTTAAAACATGTAAAACTTTATATAAGCAGTGCTGGGATTCTCTCTGCTGTGAGAATAGATATGAGGATCAATTTATACTGATTATTCACCCGGGAAAAAAAAAAAAAAGTATTTTGCTGGTGCTGGAGTCGTGTAGACAGACAGAGCTGCTAAAGCTGTGCGCAGGGAGGCTGCATGGAAAAAGACATTACCACGGTGCATGTGTGGACGCATGTTTCAGAGGAGAGCTGCACCGAAGTGCTCAGCTGGGAGCATCCAGTCACTGACCCCTGTCCTTCCAACAGCGTGGAGGGAACTCTGCACAAATGTGAATGTGTGTGTGCGGCAGAGAGGGAGGAAGAAGAGTTTGTGTCTGCTGGACAGAAAGGCAGAGAGAAGCTAAGCACAAAGAACAGAGGAGCTCTGTGCAGCCGGGCACCTCTGCAGCTCCTCTCTCCGAGCGGCTCGTCCACATGTTCGCCGTGCTGAACCACACTGGCCTTTGCACTTTGCGCTGACTCTGAACGGGCGGTTTGGCCACCTCGCTGTATTTTCCCCGGCCTGACCAGCCCCATCGCTCTCTCTAAGCTGTGAAGAAACCGCACGGACGCTGCTCGCATTCAGCCATTTCCCGTTGAATATTTTGTCCCCACACATTTATGAGTTGTTGTTTTTTTTTCTTTCTGCAAAGACACTGCAAATTCAATTGTACAGTATTTGTAAAACTGAAGGTGAAAATCTAGGAGCACACAGGCATCCTAAAAAAACTGTTGTCATAAAATGTGTAAAAGAAATGGCAAATAGAAAATAGAAATTTGTTTGTTTTTTGCAAAACATTCGAGTGAAAACAAAAACACTTTGTCTTTTGGACATGTTCGTTCACATTTTAATTTACTAATGCAAACCACAGAAAGAAATATTATTAAATACATTTGATTTTTTTTAACCAAAAGTGTCCATATTATTTTGGGTAATTTTATAGACATAAATAAAACTCAGAGTAAAAAAAAAACAGAAAAATAATCAGCTCTGTCAAGAGCAATTGAAGCCTCTTTATTCTGAATTTGTCTGAATGGAAAAGGGCCTTTTGAGAAATATACAACATAAAGGTGGTATTTGTTTCTGTTTCTTTCGTCCTCTGCTGTTGTAACCAAATTTAAAAATGAAAGCATCTCCTACTTTTCCCTCTATCAGTCTCAGCATGGTGATGTTTTCCACAATCAAGTTTTATGGTGTGCCAGCAGGACTCCACATCCACAGGGACTCTCAGCAGAAAGAGGTGAATACCAGGTGCTGCGTTCCCTCTCATGCTATTACCACCACACTGTCATGGCTTTCTGGCCCATTTTACCTTGTGAGCACCCTCCCCCCGGCTCGCAAGACAACAGGACGACACCACAACAGCTGCACGTTCGGCAGCTTTGTCCGTTCGCAGCAACAGTTCCTATTTTTTTCCCTGCCGGCTTCTCTGCTGCTGGTTTTTGCGATATGGGGACTGCTGCACGCGGCGCGAGGCGCCGAGGACTCATTTTGTGCGAGAAACTTACACGCACAACTAAAATGGAGAGGGTGATTTCATTTTTTTTTGGAGGGGGGAGGAGATACGTTAACGAAGGGGTCGTGATGCACGGCCCAGCACGGCGTCTCAGTCAAACGTGGGCTTGGAGCACCCTCTACCCTTCACATGCCACAATGCAGGATCCCGTTCCCGCTACGGAGTCCTCCCATTCCTCCGTCTGCAATGGTCTGGGAGCCGGGCCGTGGTCCCGCTCTCCACAATCTTAACAGGAGCCATGAGAAGGAAAAGGTGCTTTAAAGGCTTCATCAACTGTGACCAACCGCCGTCAGCAGTAACCCGTGTTATACAGGCCACAGTTATGACACCCTCAAAGGGCTACCCCTGAGAAGGCAGGCGACAGGGAAGGGGGGCACCAGGGGGGGGGAACGGGGCCTCAGAAGTTTCCCACCTTCCCTTGAACCGCAGCCGCACACCCCCGGCAGGAGGTGGACAGGGCCAGCTTTGAAAAATAACACCTTTGTGATCCCCCCGTGTTTGGGGATGGATAGTGGTCTGCAGATGGCTCTGAATGCTGCGGATGTTTGAGCAAGAGAATGAGAGACGGCCGGGTGAGGAGGACACCAGAATGAGCTCTTTATCACCGGGCCGCACTTTTTCCTGAAATAAATCTGCCAAATTTTACCTCGGACTACAATTTAGCTCAGGATTTATCGGTTCTGTTCAGGACTCTCCAGTCGTATCAAAAGTAGGTAAAGCTGCTAGCAGGGACTGCTGAAGTGCGGCCAGACCAGATGAAGTTTTACAAAATGCCCCCCCCCTCCAATTCACCATGACAACAAACATGGCCTTCAATGAAGTTATACAAAAAGCTTCCATCATCCTGAACAGTTCCCACTCGTCCTGCATATGGCCAGCTACAGGGTGTAGGAGAAAACTAAGAGACAGACACTGAGCTCATAGAGTTTTGTACGGCGGGGAATAAATTATCACAGGCCCAATAATGCTGACAGTCTGGGAGGAGAAAAGGGCGCATTGAACTTCTAACCCCGGATTGGGAAATCATTTTTAGCTTCAGCTGACAGTCGGCGTAAGTGGTGCTGGAGAGCACGCTCACAGAGGTGGATGACACTTTCCGGGCAGCCCAGCAGAGCCCTTGATTGGTCGAGCCCTCTTTAAAGGTGATCATCTGTTTTCCTTTTAAAAGTAGAGCAAGTTTGATCCCCATTCCAGCTCATTCAGATCAATGCCTTTCTCTCCTTTTCGTTAAGCCGCAGGTATCGTGTCAGCATCCAGTAGCTTCATGAAATTTGTCTCAGCATGAGTGAAAAGAACTTTATGTTTGAACAAAATAGCTTGGCAAATTTGAATAGGTTTAACTCTTTAAAAACGTTCTGTTTCACGCAGAGTTTATCTTACACGAGTTACTAACCACAAAATTAAGATCACGATTGTGTTACTACGTAGCCTTTCCAAGAACTCTGCTCGGAAGTTCAGCGTGAGTATCAGAGTATCTAAGGCTTCGCGGAGGCTTGTGCAGCCTCCAAACAGCTGTGGTGCCTCTTTTGTGTTATTTGGAGGGCCTGTTGCCCCTGTCCTATTCAGGGCTTTCACACCAGTCTCACTCACTTCTCACTCCCTGGGTTCTTCCTCACAGGTCATAAATTAAGCAAAGGGGGGAGAGGCTTGAGATCAGAGAAATAAATTTAATGATAAAAAAAAAAAAAAAGATCAGTCAGGGCTTTATTTCAGTTCAACACAAATACCGAGATGGATCAGCTTAAAAGTTTCCCAACTAACGGCGGGGGCCAAACGCTCTGCTCGATGAAAAAGCCTTTTCCACACCGTGGGTTTGTGTGTCGAGTCGGAGCAGTTGGGCTCATCCACTTGGGGCCACACTGCTGTTGACACTATATGTTATTTTAATGAGTGTTGCAGCATTGTGGTTAATGTGGCCACATTTTGCAGCTCAGACGTGCATGTATGTAGGTGTCTGTGTGTACGAGAGAGACAGAGCTACCGGGGCATTTGGGGGACGAGGGGGGGGGGGGGGGTTGCAATATGGTTTTGGTGACAAGTGCTGGGATCGCTCATACTGCCTACTCTGTCAAAATAAAGATTGCTTGAAGGGAATCACGCCAGCAGCATCAAAATGACTGTTTGTTTCCATATATGTTTATTTTTCCTTCATGTATCTGATGGACCTATTTTTATTTTTTTATTTTCAATGATCTTTTTACTCTTATTTCTTTAAAAGCGTCATGATGGACACATCACATTCAGTAAGGTTACCATACTCAACCAGCAATACATACTGTGACAATGACTGAACGGCATGAATAGGAGAAATATTGCACAGTTCAGTGACTTATATTGCACGCCATTATCCCTTTGTGATACCAAAGATCAAAATTATGAAATATCATGCGACGCATGTGGGATCTATTCAGCGGCATCACAAAACTCCCATTGAAAAACGGTTAAATGGCTTTGCGTGAGGCTGTGTACAGAACCATATGGACGCCTCCACATCTCCTCGTTTCATACATGTTTCTTTTGACATCAATAATGCCTCGGTATCCAGTAGCGTTTGGAACACATCCAAAACAATTATAAAGTTGCCGTGGAAACTGAGGTCCTGTGCCAGGGTGAGGCATACTGTCTCTGCTCAGATAACCACATGGAAAGTCACAGCAAACAAAGCACTTGACAGGGGTGCAGAAATGAGAGAAATGAAGGGAGGGAGGGAGGCAGGGAGGGAGGGAGGAGAGGGATGGGCAGAGGTGGAGACACAGAGATGGAATAACAAAAGCAGGGCTCTTGGACAGGAAAATATACTCAAGTAATCAGCATTTTTTTTCCATAAGCAGGCAATTTGCAGACATATAATACAAGAAAACCTAAATATTTAAAGGAGCAATTCTCTAGACCTCACTGGGAAAATAAGTGACTTAAAGACAGGATCAATGTTATGTGGAGGTTTGGCTTAGGCAGGTAACAATACCAGCGTTGGTGTTTGCTTGAATGAGCATTATCATGGCAAAGCGAAACACAGCCTCCTCTGTGACACACACGCAATTTTGTGCGTACAATATAGGAGCCAGGGTAATGTATTGTAACCTTATGCGAACCTAATGAACAAGGGGATGAAAGCGGTGTAATGGAGGCTTTTTTACATCTATCTTTAGGCTCCTCATTACGTGGTCCATCTGACAACCTCGTTAGGAGTACACAAAAGATTACCCATGCGGGTAAAGAGCACTACCTATGTGCAAGAAGAAGAGAAAACACAAACATAGAGAAACACTAGAGAACAGGTAGGAATGTTGTGATCCAAGATTGTACAATTGCTACACACACATTTGCTCACAGACAACCACCCCCCCCCCCCCCCCCCCCCCCCTTTGTGAGGGAAACTGGGCTCAGGGACTCAGAAAGACAATCTGACTGACTTTCAAAGACCCCTGACCGTCAAGTCTGTTTATTCAGATGAGAGTGGAGAACGCTACCATTTCAAAGCCAGCGCTTTACTTTGTTTTGATCACACTGATGAAGAACATACGCTCTGGTGCTCCATGTGGACAGTCTAGAAGACAAAAAGCTCCTTAAAGCTGGTGTTTGTTCTGCTTTATTTCACACGTGATCCCATTTATTAACATCTGACTCAAATAAACACCTTCGATGTTGAAATGGCCTCCCCTTTTTAGGCAAAACCTTTTCTTTGTGCAGCAAAAACGCACCTCACCTCAGCATTTCCAGGCTGCACCGGGTTCCTACATACAATTGCTGTAACATGAATCAATTAAAACGTGCTTTAGGTGTTTGTGCCTGAGGTGTCAGCAGATCTCTGGGCAAGTCATCATTTGTTCTCATTAGTGTTGCCTGGAGAAATCAGCGGCGCTTGAGGAAATCAGGTAATTTGTATTCACAAATAAGGATGCTCGACCCAGCCACGTCATGTCATTTGTAGCGCGGCGCGTTTGTGTGTCTGTAGGTGTTTCTATATTTCCTTTTACAACGAAGAGGTGATTTCACTATTAGGCTTAGTAAGAGCAAATGGCCAGCCATCATTAGCTCAACACTGCTCTCCAGTGGATGGAAACTCTCATAACACACATTTAATATTCAGCTGCAAAGTTGTCTGTTGATTTTTTTTTACTATCAAAGCTGCAATTATGTGGCTGTCCTGAAAACAATACACCATATTAATAGATGGTAAAGCAGCGTGGAATATGATAAACAGATGGCGCTTTGCTCGTTGTAATTCCTCCGATTCACTTCACAAAATGATGCATGTTCACAGATTGATGCGAGACAGATGCTATCAGTTTCTTCTGAACACACGAGCAAAAAGTCTGACATCACAAACTGTTTGGAAGTCATTCCAGTTCCACCACCTAACTCAATATGATGCGGTTGTTAAAAGCTTCTCCAAACAAACACTGAGAATGAATCCCCAGGGGCGCCCCGGACACATCTGGGATACGCTATAAAATCTGAAATATATAGATATCATCTGGTTTTTCTATGATACAGAAGGTTCGCTGCAGCTTGTGATTTTGCTCGTTTTGGTTAAATAAACTGTTGCAGAAGCCGAACGAAAAGCTGTTTATATTTGATTGTATGGAATTATTAAAATATTTAAATAAATTATTAAAAGAAAATAAATCAATTAACCCCTAGGCCATTTTTGCCTTGTGGGAGTGTGTTGTGCTCATGTTGCATGCTAAGAATCTCAACATCATGATTCTTCTTCTGTGCAGATGACTCCTAATATTACACTTTTGCACAAACCCTCATTTCTTTCTATCTTACTTCCAATGGCTCAGATTTTATTGCAATCTTTTAAAAATGCTCCTGAGCTATGTTTATCCAGGTCTGAGGAATATTTTTCCAAGCTTTTCTTTGGCCACGCTTTACTTATTTTTAGTGACACGACCATATTCAGACTAACACTTTTTTCTGTGAGTGTATGTTGCTCCACTTAGAACTGATCTATGAATCATTCAAGCATAAAAAAAGACCCAGGCATAAGGGATAAACTAAAGCTGTGTCTATTTTAGATCTTATCATGTCACACAGTTCTAAGCCAACTGTTACAATGACCTAAAATTATTCCATTTATGTTGTTTCATTGAAAATATTTGGTCGATAAAGAAGTCATTTTCAACAACAAAGTGTTTACCAGGGAGAAAAAGACTATTTTGAGAATTGTATTGAAGGATGTAGATGGCCATGCCAGATACTGATTTTCAATCGGGTTGCAATTGTAAAAACACTGCATTTGTTGTATAAACTGTATTTCCATCCATTCGTATACATTTCTAAACATACTGCATAGTGTAATACTAACTGACAATTTATAGTTGATATTTGAACAGATAGTAGTCAATCACTCCATGGAAGGTTGGCAGGTTTCCAACTTGGAAAAGATGAGAACCCAATAAAAGACTGGACATCATTTGGCCAAAATAGTTAGAAAGTTGTTTTTAGGGATAGTGCTGATCAAAGCATTCTAAAAAGAGAATGAATTAAACGAAAATTTGTTTACAACTATCTGTAACTGAGTGATACTCTTCATAATATACGGACGTTATTGGACTTTACGCATGTTATCAATAAAACTCATTTTCTTTTTTTATTGAGCTAATTTTTTCTTTCATTCCTTTTCTGGATAAAAAAAATAACCTTGAAAAATTACAAAATTATATGTTTTCCATTTGAGATCACTATGCAGAGAGTTCATTAGAGGGAGCCTACGCAATTAGCTCTAGACACAGGGCTCCTTTTCAGCCATTTCGCTGCGCCTGAAACATTTTTGTTTTAGGCAAATACAGTATTGTCCTCTGATCTGTTAGGCCACTGGTTTCTATCATAAGTACATTAGTGCCCAACCCTCCAGATTTTTCTTCCACTAATGCAGCCATTCTTTAAAGCCTCATATGAAAAAAAGATGACAAGGGAGAGCAAAGCTGAAGTGTGCGTAGTTTTTTGTACCACAATGTTTTGAGGACATTTTCCAGCCGAGTGCCATGCACTGAAATTCAACCCTAGTAATTCGAGCTTTAGGGCCTCCAATATGGCTGTTATGAGATTTCATCATCTTAAAGTCCCCACAACGCAACATACTTGAATTCATTCCTCAGCAGAGACAAAAGCAGATGTCTGCATGTGTATCTCAGCAAAAGAAACTTAGTGCTTTGAAAACAGGAGCCCATAAAACTTTTATGTAGAGGCACAATAATTTTTTAACAAAAATCTCAAACTTAGAGCTTTGTTTTCTATTCTCTAACCCATCTTAGAAGCTAGGTTAAGACACGCCAGTATTACTGATGCAGCACTGATTGGCTTTTGTTCCATCTTACTGTCCTGTACGTAATACCCCTATTGAAACCACAGTTGGCACATTATAAAGTCTACAGATGGTTCATTTTAGAGCTCAAGAGTGATGTCCAGGACCCAGGACTCATTTCATGCACCAGTGTAGGTAATTCTTTTGATGGATGTAATTTTATCTAGTTTTACACTAAATTGGTAGTTATTAGTTTTAGGAAATATGACTTGATGATCAGTGATAGTAGGGGTAATCCAGCAGTTGAAATAGGTGTGCATAGTTAAGTGAATATTGTGAAGATGAACCACCCATGGGTGCAGTTCCCTAAAAACATATGATTTTAACATGATTTTTTTTTTAAAGTTTTGTTTTGTTTTGTTTTTTTGGTTGATTAATTCAATCCTACTATACACATTGTGTCCAGGTTGCTGTTTTCTTTCCATGAATAATTAAAAGATAAGCTTCAGTGAATCCTGAAACATGAAGCAAAATTGAAAAGAGACTCCTAAATGACTTGACAAGTAAAGTTAAATACAAAAAATTACAATAAAAATCTAAGTCAATGTTCCTGAAACATTAGGAAATGATGTTGCAAAATTGATGCAGTGATGCTATTGTATTTAATACTATTTTATTCCGCTTGTTTCTGTTGTACTCAGTTCTATGTTCACGTAACATCATTGGTGGATGGAGATAGGAAGTGCACTGACGTTGACCAATAGGATTTGTGGTTTATTTCATAGGTTTGGTTCCATCCTGGCTGGCCCGTTATTTTATTAAGTAGCAGTTTTTTTCATATTCGGTGAGTATATTTGGTTAAGATGTCATTTCTGTATATTATTTCGTGCTTGGTCAGTTCACGCAGTGTATAAATACACTTGAACTTTAGTGTTAACCGTGACTCGTGTCTTTTACCGACTCCCAGTCTTTTAATAAAGAAGTGGGCATACCGTTGGTCCGCGTGCGCTCTCCTAACGAGCGGACGAAACGTTAATGAACAGTTGACATATTTATCCGGATCTGCCATCGATATATTGACATGACCTACATACTGACGACGTTCGGAGAGGCTCGACTTGGCCTGTTGTTTTTGTGTGAACAACAGTTGTAAGAGGCTTTCTGCTTATGGTGTCTTCCCGTCAGACGCTCGTCACTTCCAGATACAACCGAGAATATCTGTGTCGCCCACCAACACGTAGACCTGCAGCAGTTAGCTCCCCCAAGCCGTGGACTCCCAGGCTGCTCCCCCGCGGGTTTTTATCCAGAAAAAAACAAACGCCGCTAAGCGGAAAAGACAACCCAGGCTGTTTTGTCAACAAAATACAAAGAATACGAAAACATAGTGTGCTGGATATTTTCCGTCTGTATGAGCGTTTGTTTGTAACTGTGACCTAAATAAGCACAAGATGGCGCCAGTTTTCTGTTTAAAATGTTCCTGTCTTCAACAGGTCCTCCACGATTCTGCCGACATGAATATGTATGCTGTGCCCAACCCGGCAATACCAGGCTGCCCACCGGGATTAGAGTACCTTACACAAGTAGGTCTCCTTTTGCCCTTCCTTATTCAAATTTAACGATAGCTATTCTTAGTAGCTCTTATTCTGTTTTTGGGATTGGGATTGTTGCTCAAACGCCGAGGAAATGACAAATCACCATCACCTACTGTTCCTAGAGTATTTCACATTCAATTGTCTTTATCTTCAAACATCAATCTCACGAAACAGGAAAGGAAGCAATCGTTGGAATAATGACTTCTGTTTCAGCCTGGTTTCACAGTCTGGGTGTTATACAATCTGATGCAAGACCCAGTCCATTAGAACTCCTTATTATGCTGCATTTGAGACCCACTGGCAGTCAAAACTTCAAATTAAGATCCTTTTGGCCTCAGCACTTCTTCTCTCGTAAAAATGGGGGAAATATGGCTCCCATCAGGTTAACTGTGTTATTGGACAGCCAATCAGGTTTCTCATTGCAAGAAAGACATTAAATATTACATTCTCTAAGCAGACTGAAGAGTTTGGAAGAAATTATTTCCATCAAAAATGAGATTTGAATCATTGGTTCGTGTTTGTCCATCAAAAAATGTTTGCTCATTGTCGCTTTCTTCATGGTTGCGTTTCTGTCAATGTAATTTGTAGGATTTTGCTGGCTCGATAAGCATATTGACAGTTTGAGTCAGTTAACTGGTAGGCGGGAGACCATCAAACTTTGGGTTTGACTGATCTATGAAATCATATGTTGGATCATGGAATAAGAGGGAGCTTCAGCCAAAAGGCTAAATCAGTGGGCATTATTATAGGCGTGTCTAAAACAGGTTTCCACCCGCATCAAGCTGATTAACCACATGCAGCAACAAGTCTCTGGTCACAGGCTGAGATCATATAAATCAAGTGTTTGTAAAGGAAAAAAGTCCTAATGGAGGAGAGAAAATGACTGAGCCAGTGAGAAATTTCAGCTTTTTCTCTCCCTTTCCCTTCCTTTGTTACTTTACATTCCACTTCTGATTAGTCTTTGGCAAATGGTAGATGGATCAAGGAAAGGTCCAGATGCTTGTCAGGCTTATCAACAGATACTAGATTGGATTTGAGCCATTTCTTAATAACTTCACTTTCATCCGTTTTCTTTCCGTCACTTCTTTTGTCCTCCTCGTTTCACTGCATTTTTTTAAGGACACATGCACCTCACACCTACATTTCTCAGCTTACATCTGTTTGGTAATGACCTTATTGTTGTAAAATATTGTATTTGCTGTCTGTCATATCTATATATTTTTTTTGAAAAATATATAAAATCTTGACTTTTTTCTTTGAAAACATCCCATATCCAATTTTTGCTAACCTATTCAGCTAGATTCCTCTGTAAAAACCTAAAAATGACTCACTTACTTTTTAATTTTCATGAATGTATGTTTAATTAAGGTAAACTGTATGTCAGCAGATTAAAGGCCATTTTTCAGAAAGGTTAAAAAAGAAATCGGGAACAGCTAGGTTTTTTTCCCCGCTCATGCACTGCATAATCAGAGATCCATTATGGAGTCATTTCAAGGTCTGACTTCCTCTAATAAACATCAAATGCAGCTGCTTTGAGACATCAGCTCTCTCCCTTTGAACTGAAAAAGAAGGCTCCCTTCCATATGCCAGTTGGGGTTCACAGATTAGTGCTGCCCTTCCAGCTCCTGTTCTTGACTGTTGCATTTAGATCATAAAATGATAGATGTGAATGATGTGGTTTTCTAGGTGGATCAGCTCCTCATCAAACAGAAAGTCGAGCTCATTGAAGGTAGAGCATGTTCACATATTTACTTTGAGCACAGTGCAAGTTGTGTTTTCCACAAACTGCCGCTCACAGAGGATTCTCCGTCCCTTTACAGCTCTGGTTGGCTTTGAAAGCAACAACAAGTATGAGGTTCGAAACGTGGTGGGCCAGAATGTGTTCTATGCCGTGGAGGAGAACGACTGCCTGAGCAGACAGTGCTGCGGCCCGCTGCGCTCATTCACCATCCACGTCCTCGACAACTTTGGCCAAGAGATCATCACCGTCACCAGGCCGCTGAAGTGCATGTCCTGCTGCTTCCCTTGCTGTTTACAAGAAGTGAGTGTCCTTACGTTGAGGGTTGGTGTCTATAAAACTACAAAGTGTGGCTCGAGGGGCTTTCTGTTTACTTATTACTGGTTAACAGCCATTCCAAAAGCAGCTCTCTCAGTTGTATTAAAAACAAATAACTTCCTTCCGTGATGCCTCCCTCAGCTCGAGGTGCAGTCCCCCCCCGGGAACACGGTGGGCTATGTGATACAGCAGTGGCATCCCTTCTCCCCGAAATTCATTGTTGCAAATGAACACAACGAGCCTGTGCTGAAGATCCACGGGCCCTTCTGTGGTTGGAGCTGCCTTCCAGATGTTGACTTTGAGGTGGGTTTACTTATTCAAAGCAACCCATTAAGTCTGTGAAAACACAACATGGTAAAATTGTTAGTCCCCCCCCCCCACATGTTTTTTTTTTCTTCATTTGGAAAAGCTGTGCATGCTCTGAAAGCAGAGATGATGTTTCCAATCACACTGGGCTGCAGCTTGGACGAAGCCACTGCACAGAACACCCTCTTGTTTGGCACTGTGTGGCCACTGTGCCATGGCTCACAGACTTTTATTAAACTCAGCTTCGAGGGGGGATTTGGGTCAGTGATGCACATCGTTTACGGAGCCCAGAGGAGCAGGGAACTGAAGCGAGACATTACCACCACGGTTCCTTTTTTTAGAGTCTTTGAAGTCATTACAAGGAAAGAGGAGTCGATCTGCGGCAGATTTACAGAAGACCATGAATATGAATGTTTCCAAGATCTCCTTCCAAGAACAGCAAGTTTAAGGACTAATCTGCATCCTAATGCAAAGTGTGTCAGAGATTTATCCTTTTTGATGTGTGTCCGTCCTCAGATTTTGACACTGGATGAAGTCAGCAAGATTGGGAAGATCAGTAAGCAGTGGACGGGGCTGCTGCGGGAGGTCTTCACAGACTCAGACAACTTTGGGATCCAGTTTCCCATGGATCTGGATGTGAGGATGAAGGCCGTGATGATCGGAGCGTGTTTTCTCATTGTAAGCAACACCAAACATTTCCTCTGCACTCACAACTGTTACACAACATGACAAGAAAACAACAGCGCGATGATCTTTAATGCTCTGATGTCGTTCAGGATGTAGTTTGAGGGCTCTGGCATTGCAATTTTAGACTGTCAGCACAGTGCGGCTGCCGCAGATACTGCAGCCTCAGATGACCCTGCTCTCAAGGGGGATGCGTTTCTCGTCCCTGGTAGTCGGAAATTTCATGCACCTACTAATTAAATAACCACTTAGTCTGCATTTCATGGGAAATGTGACCCAAGATCATACCAAGCCCAACAAATGCAAGGCAGCCTGTCGGAGCTACTTTCCATAATAGCACAAGAGAACAGTAGCTAAATGTCAATCCCTGCTTGTTTTCAGTTCGTTTCTCACTGACAAATCAGTTGCTGATAGATTCGATCTAGGTTTTTCACATTTATTCACCCTTTGTTTGTGATTTTGAATGCAGGATTTCATGTTTTTTGAGAGCACCAACTAGGAGCCAAACAGGAGCTCCATGCAGCATCTCTGGTGGAAAAATGGCTACAAAGCCACGACGATCGGCTCCACATGACCCAACATCCAACAACCTTCCCATGGACAGAATACCAGGCGTACAGAAATGTACCCACATGTAATATTGCATGAACAGCTAAATAGGAGGTTTGTTTTTAGTCTTAGCTGCTCAGGTCGGTTGTGAAGTCGTGTTACTGGGCTGTGAGTGCACGAAGCAGTTTTCTGTTATTTATTTATTTATTTACTCTGGATATTTTTACACTGATTGTTTGGTTTTTTCGTGTTTTTCATTTCAGTGTTTCTTTGTGTTTCCTGATCCAATCTGTGATCAGTTAAAAAAACATTCATAGAAATGTTATTATATATGTTTAAAGCAGCTGTGTTGTGGGAGAAGTAAGGAACATATGTGTTGTAGTAGTTAATAGTTCTAATCTTTAATGCCCTTATTTATTTATTTATTTATATTTTGGTCGGGTGAACACTTTGTCATCTTAAAGCAATGTGTTTGTGCACTGCTTTGTGCATGTGTTTGCGCGTCTGTGTTGTAAACTGAAACATAACTGCTCATACTTTAACATACAAAGCGTTTACATTTTCATGCCACAAAATGGTGCGTTGTTTCTTTAATTTTTTTGTGTGTTGGTTAGTATGTTTTTTAGCGAATAAGAACTTGACCTGCCATCTCAGATTTGACCACAGGAGGGAGGTAGATATGTACTTAGCATCTGTTCACTGTCCAAATGAACAATAGTTGCTTTTGCCACAGAATCCTATCCAGATATTAGTGTCTGATGGCATTATATATTTTTGGACACACTCAGGTTGAAATGCACACTAATGTATGATAGTATATTTGGCCACTGTTGGTTTAGGGAATTACACACCTGAACCTGATACTACTGATTTAGAGATGTGGTTTAGTACAGTTATAAAGTATACATTAAGTCTTAGAATTTAAAAAGTGATGGAGTGAAAGATTGTCAGACAGGTTTTATTGCATTAATGCCACTAAGTGTTTTTGTAGCCATGACAAAACCATGTTTTTTTTCTTCACATTTTTCTTCATATTTATCATTCTGCAGACCTGCTGAAAAATGTCCATCTTAAGTCATTTTTTAAAAACGTATTAGGCTTAAAGATTTTTATTTTTGTAGAAATTACTAAATACTGCCAGTTAGATTTTTAAAATATATATGTTGCCTGTGCAAATGATCTGGTTTCAACAGTTTTACTCTGCCTTCAGTGTACTGACCAGTGTTTGCAGATTTACTAACAGTGGATTGATCTGCTAAGATGGGTGTTTTTTTTATGCCCGTTTTGTTTTCCTGGTATAATTTCTTGGTTTTGGTAAATTAGGACTGCAGCAGTTCTTCGTTAAAATGCAGTCAAAGGTCAGTAACAGATGTGGTAAGCTCAAGGCTGTGATTGTGTTTAAGAGACAAATATTTAGGTCAGAATGTGATGGCAAGCTTACCATTTCTGGTAGAAAATCTTTAAAAGTCCTATTTTTGCACTAACTCAGACTGTTCTGTCATGCAAGTAATGGAAACTAAGCTTAGCTTGAATTGTGCAAAGTCATCAATGGACACACCTAAATAAACAAACATGTTTTGTGTGCAGTTCTGTTTATTTATTTATTTTTCAAATCAATAAGCATAAAAAATTGAACATGGCTATTCTTAGTTGAATAGCTGGGGATTATATTCCACTTCTAAATAATCTTTCTCATTATAGACCAAAGGCCATAAAATTGTTTGGAATGGTCCTATAAAAGCTTTCAGGGCCGATGGTCGGCAGCACTCACTTTCTTTTGGGATCACTGCTGATGTCTTTCCTCCGTGGCATTGTTCTCACTCACACCTAAAAGCTGCATAAAGCAAACTGTCAGAGCCCCAGCTCCCATCTACTAATCATACCTGAATCATAATTACCAGGCGGCTACTTACAGCGTTAATGCCTGTTAAAGAAGTAAGACTACTTGCTTTTACACTCAGTGCCTCAACATTTTTTTCCATTTAGTCAGATAAATAACACTGAAATATGTTCTTTTGTTCATGGAAGGTTGTGCTGACCTGATTCTTTCAATAAAGTCCTGACATCTAAAACCTTGGAAGTGAAACCATGTTCTTTTAGCTGCCAACCCAACACTCATTTAAGCACCACCCAAAGAATTATTTCCCAAAAAACTTTTACATATAAACTTTTTAAAATGTCAAGTCTATGATGAAATCATTTATGAAACAGCTATTAGAACATTGTTCAACAAATCTTGAATATAAAGGGCTCTCTCTAAGAAACTATAGAATGAAAACATTTGAGTCTATGGTTGTCTCACGTGTTAGGTTTCATGTGTAGAAACTGCAGCTTTTCTGTTTGTGCTATGACACACAAACTCCACCATGTAGCTTTCTTTTGTGACTGATTACGGAACACATGATGCGACTTACCAAGTGGTTGGAACAGTATGGAACAGTGCTGAGGAGAGGTACTGAAAGAAGACATGAGTAAGACTTTCTGCTCACTTTTCTCATCACAAGAGCATATTAATGCCAAGTATGTGGCAGCAGAGAATGTCAGTGAGGATAGCTGGTAAGAATGTAATCAATCACAGTTTGTTCTAAAAAGAAAAAGAAGGAAATTTGAGATTATCCCTTTATTTTGAATAGTATGAAATGGAGAAATGATATTAACCTCAGCTCTACTGTATTTACCAGAAGTCAGCCGAGGTTGGTTGAACATTGATGGATAAGGTCTTCACACGCTTCCTACATGAAGGATGGAAACAGTCACTGGAATGTGGTTGGTGAAAGGGACTCAGGTGATAACTAAGCCAAAGGTAAAGGGCCTACGACGGCAGTCTGATTGGCCGCCTGGGGGCGCGTCCTGAACCGAGTCAGGGTGCGCTTACATGGCAATGATTTCTGTCTCTGTTCAGATTTAAAGTAATCATTGTCAAAAGTAAAGTCAATCCGAGCAATGGACTGCAGTAACTGTTTAGGTGGGAGTCAGCTTGTTCGATCCTGAAATAGATGAATAACTTCTAGAGCAACAGCTAAACGCTAAACTTGTAGCTTTAAAACAGGATTCATCAAACCACTCGCTGATTAAACAGGTTTCAAAATTCATCAGTGCTTATTAAAAAAATCTTAATTTGTGTCCACCTTAAGTTATCTATGAAAATAATAAATTACATTCACTGGTGCCATTTCAGGGCTGGACAGCCAACATCAACAGCATTAAAGTCTCACTTTTGAACACCTCGGCAACCTCAGATATAATTTTACATGACCAGGAATTCTCTGTAACTTAAAGACAGCACAGAAACAGCTGTAGGTATTCTCAAAATTATTTTATAGGGCATATAAGCACACACATAAAGGAGGCGTATATTCCAAACTTCCACAGAAATCATGCTCTCCAGTGTATATCATGAAAAACTCCCAGCATACATTTCTGGATTTACTGCAGTTGTGTAGTAATGTGATACTTTACAGAAAACCACTCCACATTTGGAATGTATTAGACACCCTGACCACACAGAGCTGATGTCACTGAAATAAATGCAGCAGATTTGCTGCCTAAGATTCCGCAGGCTGGGAAAAACAAAGATTTCCAGAGATGGTAAGCATGATTAGTTCTAGTGCTGCACTCTAATGTGCAGTCTTTACTTCCAAAACGATCATGTTAAAGTTCTGTTTCCCATTAAAAAAGGGCAATCCCACGTCGATACAGTTATTTAAAAATGACACGCTTGGTTACAGAAGTGAACATGAGGCCGGGGAGTGAGGAGATGTAAACAAACACCGTGGCAAACAACATGAGTGCGTTTTGCCTGAGTGGAGCAGACAACTTCCATATGTCAACCCTGACAGATTCCCAAGCTAGGATGGGATGTTCCCAGTTGAACTCAAAAACTTTTCCTTTTACTGCTATGTCACTAGTTTATCCTGTTAGGAAAGTGATGGTAATTCAGAGACTTGTCGAATCTCTTCAGCTGCTCGACATGGTGACTAACTAAAGTGTACGGAGTTTGCTCTGATTTGGAGAGGCAGGAGGACTTTTGGGCAACATGACCGGGGATCAGTGATGTCACACATACATCCATAACCAGTGCCTCTGCTGGATGTGGAACACTGAGATGCTCCTACAGCTCCTCTCTCCACGTCCACAGGGAAACTGTGGCAGTCGTGCCACCGTGGGTGCCCGACAGAGTTCCCTTGAGACCACAGTTGTTCAAACAGGCTTTATTCGAGCGTGTGTGCGGCACCCGCACACACACTCTCTCACACGCACACACACTCACACGCCCGGCTAAGGCTCTTGGTGTTGTCGCCTGTTCCTGCTCGTTCAGAGCTGGTCGCTTGTCCTGCTCCAGCTCTCCTCCAAAACCAGTCCTCCCCAGGTCCAGCACGCTACTCTTTTTACAGAGGGGAGAGTGATTAGCCAACCGGTTCCAGGTGTGCTTAATCACTCTCCCCTGGCACTGCTCACCTGAGCCTCCTCCACCCCTCCCCCCTGCAGCTGAGCGCCACGCCCCCTCCACAGAAACAATCGCAGAAAAAACGGATGGCATTTCTGATGCACATGCGAACTCCACTGGCCGCCAGGATCTAATTCGGATGACAAATGGCTGCCCGCAGACGTACTCTCAAGTCTGCGCGCCAGCCATTTAAACATAATCAAATGAGTCGGGGACCGTTCCTGCCGGGATTTACATCTGGTCCTGCCATCAGTGCCCGGACGCAGAGCAGCCTCTGCTCTGGCTGGGGCTCCATGATGATGTACGAGCTGCCAAATGCTATCAGAGCCGGGCTGTCCTTCCGTACCTATCATAATACCAGAATAACAGTTTCTGAGATCTCACTAAAAATGCAGGAAACTAGAAACAACCCGACTCTTTTCCGTCGTCTCCTGGAGAGATTCAACAAAACGTCACTGATGTATACCATAATGAAGCTACTCCTCCAGGAGCAAAACAGACTCAAGCTTTAAGTATAAAAGCAGAAAGTTACCCACTTGATTTTCTTTGAGAGGGAACAGCTGCTGTAACTTGGCAGCAGATGCTAGTTAACAATGTTTTCTGATTAGCTGTAATGAACCCTGCTGGGGACGGATGCAGTGTAGTAACCAGGCGTGTGGTACCTTTGGCCATTAAATTGAAACACTTTGCAAATATCATCACTGTTAAACGATTGTACTCAATGTACTCAGCACCTCAAGCGGAACTCTGTGTTCAGTCTAACAAACAGGAATGATGATCGGTGTTCCAAAAACAAGCCTCATCCATGCAGCTGGGGATTTGAGGAACAGAAGAAAGGGATTTCTCCATAATTTATAATATTACTTTCTGATTACACTATATTCATCACCTAATTGCTTTGGATCTGATCATCAGTTAAATGACAACTACAGATTCAGGGAAAACATATCATTTTAGATTTTTTGGATTCAAACTCAAGGCTTCAGCCAAAAACTGACTTCACAGAAGCTTTCAAACTAAATATCCAGACAAAGTCATGAAATCCTAACAATCTGTGGGACCCACAATCCATTGTTTACGCTGTGAACTTTGTACATCTAACCACACACAACCCTCGCCCTATGACCACTGGGATATATAAAGATGTAACATGTCAAATGGACTGGAGCGGCTGTTGTCAGTAAAATGGAATGGAGGCATCAATTATGTTTCCTCCAAACTTTACTTGGAAAAGCAAATGAGTAGTGTGTGAAAGGTTTCCAGAGCGGTGAGGTGGCACTGCGAGGGCAGGTTGGATGCACGGCTGGATCTTCATTTCCTGGACCCACTTTTGGTGTGCTAAAGTGAAGCCTTATGGTTTAAACATGGCCGCCTAATGATGACATTTAAATTAAAGGCCAGCCAACGATCTCATTATGTGTCATTTACGAGGAACACTGCCCAAACGCCCAGACCTACATAAGAATGCGAATGTGCCTAGCAAAAAAAAAAGGTTGCCTAAAAGCCACACACGCCATTGACTGCGCACTTATGAACATTTGTGGTCATCTGGAGCTTCTTTTAAAGACAACAGATGAGGACTTGCTGTGATTAGTGTGACGTGTTTGACCCTTTATCTCTGTGTGGTCGGACTCCCCGTGTGCATGACAAAACATTTAAAGTGTTTTGGTCTGTAATCTAATGCAGTTTGGATGAAGCCCCACAGCGTGCCCCCCTCCCAGAGGGAGCACCCTGACCACACCCTGGGTCAGTGGAGCCCCATAAACACGACCACATCAGCCCTCACTAAACTGGGGATGGTGCCCTGATGGGTGCTCAGGACCACGAGCTGATAGTCTTTCCACTGACCTGGACTAGTAATTACCATTTTTGTGAAGTGATCAAAGCCTCCGGGGTGAAAATATAACCCATTCTTCTACAATCACGGCGCAATTGTGGGTTCTGCAGAAAAGGTTCAGGGGGACAAGTTTCTAGGTTACATGACTCAACAGCATAATTACAAATCCATCTGGCTCCACCACCAAACGAGCTTCAAAATAGAATTGAAAGTAAAGCGAAATTCATGGTGTGCTATAACCACTGATAGATATGTGCTTTCGACTGTCCCCTTTAACATGTGCACTGGCGCATACACGCCGGACAATCATCCTTTTCATTTCATTATATACCTACCATAATTCACAATGGTCATAAAAGGAAATGCAAAACCACTGACACTACAGAGGAAATATTTCAGCTTTATTTTTCCATATTTTCTCTCCCCGAGACTGTTTCGGTGATCGACGTTCAGCACTAGACATCTCCGTTGGAGTCTGCCTCCCTAATGAATCGTCTGTTTCTTCGAGCTGCCTGATTAGACTTAAACAGTCCAAACCCACTGTCTCCACCAAGGCACCGAAAATAGAGGACGGTTTGCAGTCGTCACTGTTTAGTCTTTAATTCAGGCAAGGACAGCGAGGGCTGGAGGCTTGTGCGTTTTATTTGGCAGAAGAGCAAGAAAAAATAGAAATGCAGCCTTAGGAGCACGCCACCTGTGCAGCGGCAGGATTTTCAGCATTTTGAGCTGCTTTTCACCTGATAAAACAGCTGAATTCTACACAGCGTGCACCTATTTTGCAGCCTAAAGTTTA